CCTCGTCCCCTTCTCCCTCGTCCCCTTCTCCCTCGTCCCCTTCTCCCCGTCCCAGCTCCCCTGGTCCCTTCTCCCCCTCTCCTTCCTCTCCCTCTCCTCCTCCCCCTCCCCCTCTCCCTCTCCCTGGCATTAGTGAAGTATCTGGGGTTTTATGAGAATCCAGTAACTTTCTTGATCACTTTCCCCGAGTGTTGGCTCTTCATTCACCTCTGTTACAGAACCTGCCATTGTATTTTTTGTCGGTCCTTACTCCCATTTTTCTGTTTTAAATCATATTCACAGGGAATTGGAAAGGGAACATTTGCAGTTGGGAACCTCAAACCAGACATCACATCAGGATTTGATGGAATCACCCAGTTCATTGTAAACTGAATCTCACTGGATTTTGAACATGGAAGGAAAAGGTGCTGCTCCCAATGGGGAGAAATGGTACATGTGTTCTTTGTGTGGGCGAGGCTTCCAACGATCATCTGGACTATCGAAACACCAGCGAACTCACACTGCAAAGAAACGGTGGCAATGTGAGAACTGTGGAATGGGATTTAATTACCCATCTGAGTTAGAAGCTCATCAGTATAGTCACACTGGGGAGAGACCATTCAGCTGCTCGGAGTGTGGGAAGGGATTTTTTCAGTCGTCCCATCTCAGGCAACACCAGCGAATTCACAATGGGGAGAGGCCGTACAAATGCTTTGAGTGTGGGAAGGGATTCGCTAACTCATCCAATCTGCTGCAGCACCAGCGATTTCACATTGGGGATAGGCCATTCACCTGCTCTGAATGTGGGAAAGGTTTCATTGTCTTATCTGATCTGCAGAGACACCAGCGAGTTCATACTGGGGAGAGACCATACACTTGCTCTGAGTGTGGCAAGGGATTCACTCAATCGTCCACCCTGCTGCATCACCAGCAAGTTCACAATGGGGAGAAACCTTACCGATGTCCAGAGTGTGGGAAGTGCTTTAAACGTTCTGGGAACCTGATAACGCATCAACTTGTTCACACGGATGAGAAACCATTCAGATGCTCTCAGTGCGGATTGAGTTTCAGAAAATCATGTCAACTCTCAGAACACCAGCGATCTCACACTGGGGAGAGGCCTTTCACCTGCACTGAATGTGGGAAGGGATTCACTCAGTCCTTTCACCTGCTGAGACACCAGAGAACTCACAAAGGAGAGAGGCCATTCACCTGCACTGAGTGTGGGAAGAATTTCACTCAGTCATCCCACCTGCTGAGACACCAGCGAGTTCACACTGACATGAAACCTTTTATGTGTCCAGACTGTGGGAAGTGCTATAAAAGTTCTGGGGAACTAATGTCCCATCAGCGGGTTCACTCCGATGAGAGACCGTTCAGGTGCTCTTACTGCGGAACTGGGTTCAGGTGGTCGTCCCAACTCACTAAACACCACCGTATTCACACTGGGGAGAAGCCATTCACCTGCTCTGAGTGTGGGAAGGGATTCACTCAGTTATCTAACCTATTGAGACACCAGCGAGTTCACACTGGGGAGAGGACGTTCACCTGCTCTGAGTGTGGGAAGGGATTCACTCAGTCATCCAACCTATTGAGACACCAGCGAGTTCACACTGATGAGAAACCTTTTATATGCCAAGACTGTGGGAATTGTTATAAAAGCTCTGGGGAACTGATGTCCCATCAACGCGTTCACACTGACGAGAGACCGTTCAGGTGCTATCACTGTGGGACTAGGTTCAAACGTCAGTCTGAACTCACTGTGCACCAGCGAATTCACAGTGGGGAGAGGCCATTCACTTGCTCCAAGTGTGGCAAGGGATTCAGTCAGTCATCCCACCTGCAGACACACCAGCGAGTTCACACTGGGGAGAGTCAGTTCACTTGCTCCAAGTTAGAGGCAAAAGAAAAAGGAAGAGAAAAGGAAGTTGGAACTGAAAACTCAAAACTGAATTAAAATGGTGGAGGTAGAGGTGAAAAGTTGGAGTAGTGATGAGGACAGCGATGGAGAGCAATCCCATCGTAGGCAAAGGCCTGGTGGGGATCTGTTTAAATATGTTCAAGCATTGCCAAAGTTCGATGATAAGGATGTAGAAGACTTTTTCACTTCATTTGAGAACATAGCTAAATAAATGAAGTGGCTGGTGACCATGAGGGTATTGTTGATCCAAACAAAGCTGATAGGTAGAGCTAGTGAGGTATTTGCATCAATGTCAGAGGAGGTATCTGGGGAGTATAATCAGGTGAAAAGTGTTTTCGGAACCTAAGGAGAAACCCTGGTAAAACATACATTGAGTTCAAAAGGATGAAACAAAGTAATTTTGATAAGTGGATAAGGGCACTGAAAATGGATCAAATATATGATGCTGTTAGACGATTATTTTGGACGAGTTCAAAAATTGTAGTGAGAGCTCATATGGAAGAGCAAAGAGTTAAGACTGCAAGATTAGCAGTGGAAATGGCAGATGATTATGAGTTAGTTCATAAATCAAAGTTTGGCTTCTGACATCAGTTTCAATCTGTGAGAGATAGAAATTGGGGAAAAGAGAAATTCTCAGGTAGTGAGGGAAAAGGAGATCTCATTGAAGATAGTTTACCGCAGGGTAAAGAGGAAACCCATGAGGCAGAAAGAGAAGTGAAAAAGCTCAGGTGTTTTCACTGTAGCAAAGTAGGCCACATGAAGTTGTAGCGTTGGTGGTTTAGAAAAAGCACTGGGAAGACAGACGTGGGAAAACAGGATAAGCCAATGAGTTTTGTTGAAGTGGTAAAGCACAGTGGAAGCTTAAAAGCTGCAAAGGAATGTAGAACCTGGTCAGGGCTTGGTTGAGAAGAATGTGCCAGATCTCATTAAATGATTTACTTGAATAGGTAAGGTTTACTCGTGTATGTCAGAGGAGAGGTAAAGAAATCAAGATTTTAAGAGATACAGGAGCAGGTCAATCTTTGGTGAGAGCTGAGGAGATATGTAATTCAGAAGGAATATTGCCAGAAAAGGTGGAATTCATGGTGAGAAGAGCAGTGTTTCATTATATAAGATGAGGTTTCAGAGTCTGGTGAAAAGGTGGTAGGAGTAATAGAGAAATTCTCAGTTCCAGAAATACAATTTATCTTTGATGATGACATAGCTGTATGACAGGGGAGCAGGGGGTGGGGGTGTTGCCTACTGTGGTTGAAAAGCCAGTGGAATATCAAGCAACTGACACGTTATAGGAAGTATGTCCTGGGATTTTTCCTGACTGTGTTGGAACAAGGTCACAAAGCTACAGGTTGAAGCAGGGGGAGAAATCAAAGAATTAAGATGAGGAACTTGAAGTTCAATTAGCAGAGACTATGTTTGATCAAATGCTTGAGAAAAAGCAAGAACAGATGGAGGACAAAGTGGATATTTTTGGTTCAGAACAATTAGCTGAATTACAACCGCAAGATGAAAAGCTAAAGCAGTTGTATCCAAAATGAAAGACAGAGGAAGAATGAATATATCCCAGAATGTTGCTATCTTAAAAATGGCATCTTGGAGAGGAAATGGAGACCATCACATGTTCAGGCAGATGAGAAATGGATAGAAATTCATCAAGTTGTATTACCAGTGGGTTATAGAAAGGAAATGTTACATGTAGCACATGGATTACCAGTAGGAGGTCATTTGGGAGTAAGGAAAACTCGAGCCAAAATACAAAAACATTTTTTTTTTGGGCTGCAATGTATAAGGATGTGGTTGAATTTTGCTGGACATGTCATACGTATCAGGTAATTGGAGAACCTCAGGCAGTGATAAAACCTGCACCCTTAATACCCATTCCTGTATTTGAGGAACCTTTTACAAGGGTCTTAATTGATTGCGTAGGACCCCTACCTAAAACAAAAAGTGGGAATTGGTATTTGTTGGCCGCAATATATGTGTCTACTAGAACTGCAGTATGTAATATTGCAGCTAAAAAGATTGAAGAGTTACTCAAATTTTTTACTAGATACAGACTATCCACAGCAAAACAATCAGATCAAGGGTAAAATTTTACTTCAAAGATATTCAAGGAAGTTATGGATAGCTTAGGAATAAAACAATTCAAATCTACTGTGTACCGTCAAGAATTGCAGGGAGCATGAGAACGGTGGCATCAAACTTTAAAAGATCATGTTGAGGGCTTATAGTCAAGACTATCCAGAGGATCTGGATCTGTACTTTGTGCAATTAAGTAAGCACTTAACGAATCAACTAAATTCAGTCCATTTGAATTACTTTTTGGGCATGAGGTGAGGGAACCACTGAAATTAATTAAGAAGAAATTGGTGAGTCAAAGTTCAGAGACCACACATTTACACTATATGTCAACTTTTAGGAAGCGATTAAATAGAGTGGGTGAGTTGGCTTTTGAAAGTAGCACAGCATGTGATGAAACAGAAAGCAGACAAACAATCAAAAATTCACGATTTTGTTAGTGCAGTTAAAGTGTTAATGTTACTTCAGTGGTAGGTAAACCTTTAAAGGCAAGGATTAGTGGGCCTTGTCAAATTGAAAAGAAATTGAGTGACATGAATTATTTGATAAGAATGGCATATAGAAAGAAATCTCACAGATTGTGTCATGTGAATATGCTGAAAAGATATGTTGATAGGAAGGAAAGCAAGAGGAGAATGTGGTACTGGTTGCAATACAGAGCAAAGAATTAAGTTCAGATGATACCGATTCAGACATTCCTCAAATTAAATTGGACAATGAGGAAGTTCTCAAAAATTGGGATAAATTATTGAGTTACCTTCCAGATGAAAATCGATATGAACTGAAACAGTTATTACAATCTTATTGGGAGATATGTGGGAATAAGCTGGGAAATACGAATCTAATTATGCATGATGTTGGTATAGGAAATGCTGTTCCAGTTAAGCAATGTCCTTATAGACTTAATCCTCTAATGTTGACACAGATTCAAAAGGAGATTGAACTCATGCTCAAAGACAATATAATCGAACTGAGTTGCAGCAAATGGAGCTCACTCATAGTAATGGTGCCAAAATCTGATTCATATCCTACTCCACATTGGAAGACAGTATTGAAAAGGTGGGACAAGCAACTTATATTTCTAAGTTGGACTTTACACAGAGGATACTGGAGGGTGCCTTTATCCGAAAGAGTGAAGGAAATTTTGGCTTTTTGTGACACAGAATAGACTGTACAAGTTTAAAGTTATGCCATTTGGCATTAAAAATGTACCAGCCACATTTCAAAGACTAACCAATAAAGTCATTTCTGGACTACCCAATGTGTGGTGTACATATATCTGGTGATTTTTAGTCACACTTGGAAGGAACATTTTCAGCATCTATCAAAATTATTTGATCGATTTCATGAGGCAGATTTGGTGATAAACCTGGCTAAGAGTGTGTTTGCGAAAGCCCAAGTCATGTTCCTGGGCTATATCAGTGGACGTGAAAGGATGGCCCTGCAAGATGTGAAGTAAATGTTATTGGGGAGTTTCCCATTCCATTAATGAAGAGAGAAGTATTGGACCAAGTGTTTTTTTTAATCAGAGGTTCGCACTGAAGTTTAGAAGTGCTGTTGCTCCACTGACTGACTTGTTGAAGAAGTGCAGAAAATTTTAGTGGATGGAGGAATGTCACAATGTCAGCGCTAGCCGCCTCCAATTACACAAATCCATTTAAAGTGGCTACCGATGCAAATGATGTGGGTTTTGGTGCCGTACTCTTGCAAGAAGATGATAAGGAGATAGAAAGACCTATTGAGTATTTTTCCAGAAAATTGAATAATGATCAACAGAAATATTCCACAATTGTGAAGGGGACCTTGATCTTGGTGTTGGCATTGCAACATTTCAACATATATATTGCCAGTAATGTATCTGAGACAATTGTATATACTGATCATAATCCCTTAAAGTTTTGGAAAAAATGAAGGATAAAATTTCCAGACTGTTTAGATGGAGCTTATTATTACAGCCATTCAATTTGAAAATTATACACGTGGCAGGATGAGAGAAAGTAATTGTTAATGTATTTGATGAAGGAAGACGGAGCATTTGGTGGCAGGAAAAAGAAGGACTGAAATGGACTGTCGTAGTGAATGTTTGCATGCTTAGAGTCGATGTAATGTATATGTATTGTAGTGTATTAATAGCAAAAGACTAAAGTTTTATTTAAAATGATGCCATCTTTGTGTATTGATGGATCATTTTTTTTAAATGGGGGAGATGTGACAATATTATCACTTTAAGAGGGGTATTTGGTCCTTTTTATTTGAGGAAAGGTTGAGACAGAAATGCCGAGCAGTCGGATTCAAAGCCCATAATGTAAACAGCTTGTGAGGCCTTATGTTTATGGGATGTTAACTATATTGGAACAGTTACTTCTTAGTCGTTAAATAATCTATTATTCTGTTAAGTTTTTCAATAGAGTTAAGTTATTTCAATTCTTGCTTTTGTTGCATTTTAACTATAGTGTATGAATAAAGTGTGTTTTGCTTCATGACTGGTAGTTTGACGAATTGAATTGCATCTGGAATGCAGTGGCTGGTACCTGCCTTTAAAATAAGACACATTAGGGTCTAGGCTATCTTTTTCATATATTTTGAGGGGGGGGGGGGGTTAGTCTGGTCCATAACACCAGCAAGTTCACACTGGGACTGAATTGGGTTTGGTTGAGATACATCATTGTAGATTTCAATCTTTCCCACCTCAGTGTTGAAAAACACTTGGCTGGAGCTCAGAAAGGATAATTCGAGGGGAAGATTGTACAACAGGAACAGAACTTCAGGCTGGACACAGTACTTTGGTGTCACACTGAGATGGCAAACAACACTTTTAGGCTTTCTCATCCCTCTTCACTGTCACAGTGACACTGCCACAAGTTAAGGAATAAAGCCTCTATGAGTGGATTGTACGAAAGCTGTGTTTCAAATCCTGATTAACAACTGGTTACATGGTTATGGGATAGTGAGAATGAAAGACAGTGAAGTGTTCAATTAACCACAATTGTACTAAATGACAGAGCAGTTCTGAATGGTCTACTCCCAGGTTTCTGTGTTCTTTCATACAAACATGTCTACGCTTAGTGAAGCAGTTGATGTGTTATTGGATGAGGGGAAATGAAGAGAAGCTGATTGACATTGACATTGAGTATCTCAGCATGTAATCCAAAAACAGCTTGTATTTACAGAGAGAGTTGTGGGGCTGGAGGAGGTTACAGAGATCGAGGATCTGGTTAACACTGTCTAACTCAGGGTGGTCAAACTCATTTTCCACAGTGGTCTGATGTGATAACTTGGCTCTGAGTGAGGGCCATATTCTGCAGTAGAATTTCTACAGTGCGGAAGCAGGCCATTCAGCCCATCGAGTCTACACTGGCCCTCTGAAGAGCAGCCTACCCAGACCCACCCCATCCCTGTAACCCTGCATTTCCCAAGCCTCACCCACACAACCCTGAACATTATGGGCAATTTAGCTTGGCCAATCTACCTAACCTACGCACCTTTGGACTGTAGGAGGAAATTGGATTACTCAGAGGAAACCCATGCAGACACCGGGAGAATGTGCAAACTCCACACAGATGGTTGTCTGAGGAATTGAACCCGGGTGCCTGATGCTGTGAGGCAGCAGTGCTAACCACTGATCCACCATGCCATGGTGTTTATCAAAATAGAATCATTTACAGATTAGTTATGTTATTTACTGGCAACTCGCTTTTTTTATCATCCTGCTGCTCCCGATACCCAACACCTCTTAGCTTGAAACATCACATCAATACATGGTGCAAATGGCTTGACTGAGGCCAGTCCTAGATAATAACATAAGGACACAGTTCCTTGAAAGTGGAGTCGCAGGTAGATAGGATAGTGAAGAAGGCACTTGCTATGTTTGCCTGTATTGGACAGTGCATTGAGTATTGGAGTTGAGAGATCAGTTTGCGGCTGTACGGGACATTGGTTAGTCCACTTTTGGAATACTGTGTGCAATTCTGGTCATCCTGCTATAGGAAGGAAGTTGTGAAATTTGAAAGCGTTCAGAAAAGATTTACAAGGATGTTGCCAGGGTTGGAGGGTTTAAGCTATAGGGAGAGGCTGAATAAGCTGGGGCTGTTTTCCCTGGAGTGTTGGCGACTGAGGGGTGACCTTATAGAGGTTTATAAAATGGCATGGATAGGGTAATTAGGGACATCCTTTCCCTGGGGTGGGGGAATCAAAAACTGGAGAGCATAGGTTTAAGGTGAGAGGGGAAAGATTTAAAAGGGATCCAAGGGGCAACTTTTTCACACAGAGGGTGGTGCGTGTATGGACTGAGCTGCCAGAGGAACTGGTGGAGGCTGGTACAATGACAGCATTTAAAAGGCATCTGGATGGGTACATGAATAGGAAGGGTTTAGAGGGATATAGGCCAAATGCTGGAAAATGGAACTAGATTCATCTAGGATATCTGGTTGGCATGGACAAGTTGGACCAAAGTGTCTGTTTCCATGCTATACATCTATATGACTGTATGACCACTTGTCAACACAGAATCTTAGGCATTTACAGCACAGAAGGGATGTGAAGTAATTAACCTTCACATGTTTCCTTCCAGTAAATGAGTTGAAAATCTCATTTTCTTTCACTTGACAATAGAAACAAATAACATAGTGCTACCTCACTAATATTGGGAATTTTCAGTTCACAGCTTTTGCAGCTGCTGTATCCAAGCCTTCCAGAGAAAAAGAGAGACTTCTGCATCAGACTCTGCTCCACTGCTCCTCTACCTGCCCCAGGCCTTCCAAACTCTGCAGTTCCATAAAGCAGCCAGCAGCAGATTGGGCCACCCCAGGGGATGAGAGGAAACCACCCCAGGCCTACCTCTGGCCTCACGATTGGTAAAAAGAGTGATCTTCTGGATTTTTTCAGACCATTTTATGGTCATGTTGGAGGAGACAACAGCCGAGGGCAGGTAGAAGTTGGAAAATAAAAGTTTGTAGATGCCCATTATCCAAAAGTCAGAATTCCATCAAATTGCAGAAATACCTTACTCTTGTAGATTATACCATCAGCAATAAGGTAACAGAGCAGAGGAGATTTACCAGGATTCTGCCTGGGTTGGAGAGTCTGAATTTTTTCATTTACTCATAGGAGGTGAGTGTTGCTCGCTGTCCAGCATTTATTGCCCTTGAGAAGGTGGTGTGACCTATGAGGAAAGATTGGATAGGCTGGTGTTTGTTCTCCTTGGAGTAGTGGAGGTTGAGGTGAGATCTGATAGACAATTATTGATTAGTTAGGGTACATAAGAAGGCACTTATTCCATTAGCAGGGGGTCAATAACCATAGGGCATAAATTTAAGGTAAGAGGTAGAAGGCCAAGAGGAGAGTTGAGAATAGTTGTCATCCAGAGGGTTATGCGAATTTTAAACTCATTGAAAAAATTGTTGTATCAGAAAGGCTGATAACATTTAAGCAGTGTTTAGATATTTGCTTGAGTTGCCGTAGCCTCCAGGGCTACAGACCAAGAGCTGGGAAATGGGATTAGTGTAGTTAGATCTTGAAGGTGACCATAGGGGACAGGATCAGTTGCATGGCCTCCTGATTGTATCCTGCTACCTACACACCCTGCTGTCTTGAGATCATATCCACTGTAGATCTAACAAGCACACTGTATTTCCAGATACTCAGTCTGCAAGTGGATGGAATCCTTTACATATGAGCTCAGGAGGGCCTTTCCTGTGACGCCAGTGAATGAAATGCCTCTGTGTTTGTTGCAGTCTTCTCTTTCACCTCTATTGTTGTAGATTGTGTGACTTCTGCATCTTGCATGCCCTGTAGAAGAGATCCTATGTCCCAACAGAGGAGGACGACATGAAGGTGCAGGAGTTGATGCAAATGTCTGTGCTTGAGCAGCTCACCTGGAATTCCTTCTTTGCCAGTGACCTTTCTCCTGCTAATCAATGGTCTGTTGGAGCTCAAGTGATGAATGTTCTTTATTCGACTCAACTATGGCAGGAAGAGCAGGAGTTAGGGGAGGCAATAGAAACTAAATGGGATAACTTTCAGGAGAGTGTCAAACAGAACATAGAGTAATGGAGCCACCAGGAACATCATTGCATTACACCAGGGGCGGCATGGTGGCTTAGTGGTTAGCACTGCTGCCTCTCAGTGCCATGGACCTGGGTTTGATGCCACCCTCAGGTGACTGTTTGTGTGAAGTTTGCACATTGTCCCTGTGTCTGCACAGGTTTCCTCTGGGTGCTCCGGTTTCCTCCCACAATTCAAAGATGTGCAGCTTAGGTTGATTGGCTACGCTAAATTGCCCATAGTGCCCAGGGATGTGCAGGCTAACCATGGGAAATGCAGGGTTGCAGCGATAGGGTTGGGTCTTGGTCTGGGTGGGATGCTCTTCGGAGGGTCAGTGTTAACTCAATGGGCTGAATTGCCTGCTTCCACACGGTAGGGATTCTATGATCGTGGAATAGACCACTGGCATGATGGGTCAATGCTTCTGATATCTGGACCAGTCAGATTGAAACTTCCAGTCACACAGGATCTCAATTGATACAACAATTTATAAAACCCAACAGGGTGCTGAAAAATTTGGACTCTGTGGCATCTTCTCCAGCTATACAAATTGTTGCTTTCTTTCTAAGTTGGTTTTCTTGTTCAGTTCTGTTGAGGGCAAACTTCAATTTTGTATCCTGTCGCAACAATGTTTAAAGCTTTACTGTCAAGTAGATATAGTGCTCCTTACACACACGCTCAGTAGCTGTCCTTATTGTAAACATACAAATTGAACCTTTACTTCTCAGGATTAGCTGTTGAAAGTTAAATGGAAAGCATTTTTCTTTCAGGTTGAACATACATTTATTTAAATAGACTAATACAATGGAAGGAGGAATTGACCACGCACACACG